GGTCACAGAGTTCGGGATGGTCAAGTCTGTCAAGGAGCTGCAACCCTCAAATGCATAACGTCCAATGTGGGTGACTGAGTTCGGAATTGTCACTTTGGCCAATGTTGTGCACCCCTGAAAAGCTGTTTGGCCAATTTCTGTTTCATCATCCGGAATATCGACTAGAAGCAAAAGCTCCAAGTCAACGATGCCACCACAACTAGCGATAGCATCTTTGTTGGAGCAAATCACCTTGTTTGGAATGAAGACAACACTCAAAACAGTATCTTCAGCAATTCCAGTGTCCAATACCTTTGCGTCATTGGCAAGGAAGTGGCTGTCTCCGAAAATGATCTCAACACTTGTTGTGCTGCGAGTGAGCTCATCCCAAGGCTTTCTTTTCTTGATCTGCCCTTCCTTGATCCGCTGCTTAAGCTCCCAGCCAGTCGTCTCTGGCGTGACTTCAATAACTATGACGTCACCATTCGGCTGCAGCGCTGAAATTCTCCTTGCCATGGCTCAAAATTGATGACAAAATGAGGCTTTTATCAGATTGCTTGTTGGCTAGCCTTTACGAACAGTTCATGATCATGCACACATGTTTGGTTTCTTGGGCCGATGCCGACACCAGTCACACATGCGATCAGAGTGCCAGAAGTGGAGCCGATCGACCCCAGTGATCCTCCGATCGACCGGAACCGGTCAACCGTTCGACCCACCGGTGTCGGGGATCGGAAAAAGAAGGAGCAGTGGGGCGCACTACACTTGGGTGCGTTCTGAACGGTGCTTTCGACGATCCAGGCACTGGGACTAGTAACAAGGACGCTACGAACGGGGCTGTTGGCCTTACTACTAGGAGCAAGAAGCTACGAACGGGGCTCCTGGCATCACTACTAGGAACAAAAGGCTACTAGTAGCAAGGTGCAATGCTACTAGTAGCAAGGACGCTACGAACGTAGCTCCTGGCCATACTACCAGCAACAAGAAGCTATTCCGTGATATTTCCAGGCACTCCATGGGACTGCCATACTTGGTGGCTTCGGGGATCAATGCAGGCATGTATTCCATCTGTGGAGTGTCTGGCTTTGTCGCGAGTGTAGTGCTGGGAGGCCTGAAGACAACATACGGATGACCGTTTGGGGCCCTGTCCACCTCCAAGGTCTCATTTTTCCGAAGTTGCAAGCATCCCCAAAGACATCAACACATCTACCAGCACCCTCAAGGGGTGGTTAATGGACACCCCTTAACAGCTAAGGGGCTATAAATAGACACCCCTTGGAGGGTCCTGGTAGGATCCATTAATTGGTTCCACTTGTTCTTTGGATCCACCTTGCTCCTGTGCACGACCAAAAACGGCAATCCACAGGCAGCAATCACCGTACTCCAAGAACTTCCGACCGAAATAGCCCTCCTGGGAGTCATAATCAACCACTACCAGGTCGGGGTAGGGTAGAACATACGCCCTGGAAGACTAACATGGACCCTGAAAACCACTGGTTGGTAGAGGAAAACACTCTTCCAGGGGGCCAGGACGTCAGGGTCTGTGTTAGTTTTCGGGAGTGTAGTAAAACGAGTGAAACTTCGTTTTCTTCATCGATTTGTGGACCATTCACCACCTCCCCGGGCTCTCTCGAACCAAGGTTTGATCCGCCTGGTGGTGACGATCCAGGTCTCGTCATAGAGGCCACTCCTCGGATCGAGCGATGAGCCACTGAGCAGACATGGAGCCCAACTGGAAAAGAACACAAAGGCTCAGCCCAAGCAATCTCGTCCGGCGGAAAAAACTATCGTCAGGCGGGGGAATCAACACGCGCTTGGCCACGTAGTGATCAACAAAAACAAAGAGTCGACAGTGATCTTGCAGTAGAAGCAAAGGGCAAACGTGGATCAACTATATAGAAAGAAACAAAGACACAACAAAGAAGTAAGCAGTAGCCTGCGCAGTGGCAGCATCAACAAAAAATAACGAATGCAATGGAAGAGTGAGAAAAGAGGAAGAATGTACAAACATCAAACGCGCTAGCAAAGTAATAGTAGTGGCAGCACTAGTAGTGCTAGTGGTGGTTTCTTCACCGCAGGCGCAGTTTGTTTGATGCACATTTCGTGGCGCTAAATGGGGGTTGGGGACTGGGGTAGCGATGTGCCTTGTTACTAGTAGCTTCTTGTTACTAGTAGTAATGCCAGGAGCTACTAGTAGCGTCCTTGTTACTATAGTAGCGATGCAGGCGCAGTTTGTTGCATTTTGTTGCAGATTTTCAAATCGGATCCAGAGCGAACTGCGACACGTCCAAGTAACCTTCCAAACGGCTTGTTGTTGTAGTGTCCTGTCTTCATCGGTCTTCTTTCTTTCATTCTTTTCTTCCCTTGCTCTGTTCTTGGTCCCTAATTGTCTTGTTCTTAGTGACTCTCCCTTCCTCCATCCCTTCCAATTCCATCGTCGTCCAGGTCGAGCCCCAGCTACGGCCGGCGAAAAGCAAAAAGCACTTTTCGGAGTCGAGGGGCTGATCCTTTGCAAAGTCACACCTCAGGCGGCCGAGCACATGTGCAGCACATGCCGAGCAGATTTGTGAAGCAAAGGTCTTGGGGCGGTTGGTTCGGGAGTGTCCTTATTTGGTTCTGTCTAGAATTGCTGTTTGTAGATTTTGGGTTTACAAATCCATTTAATCCGGCTGGATGACTGAACTAAGAGCTCCTAAACATCAAGGCCCTTCGCCCTGCTTTGCAATGCAGAAAATGGGGGCCACCTCTGTAGTTCGGTAATGGAATTCAGCCTGCAGAAAGCTTGCCCAACTCCCTGGACAACCTAACTCCATCCAAAAGAGGCGACATGCACATCTGTTGTCGAAATCCATCCAGACTTCCAGATTGATGGAGTTGGTGGGAGGCCTTATCTACAAGCACACTTACGAGTCTGGCCCTGTTTTTCCGGCTGCTGATATGATTTTTTTCGGGGGGATCCCAACTTTGTTTCAACTGAACCTGGCGAATGTGCTGCCGTCTCGGCATCGCAACATGTCCTTAGCGTTCTTTGAACACTTTGAAAACAGTTGCAGTGGAGATTAAAGCAACTCGGATTTGGAAGTGGATGGTCAAAAGAAACTGCGAAAATGAGCTGGCCTAGGCACAAGAAAGTCCAAGGCCCTTGACTCATGCTCGCACTCAAAAACTGAAGAAGCGCCAGCATACGGCGCAGCGGGCACGCCCCGCGGGGTGCACATCCAGACTGTGACAAGCGAATCGCGACGCGACTTAGAACTTCCAGTTTCATTGGACATGCTGCAGCCGCATGTTCTTTGAGCAAGTATAAAAATGACACACTACTAGTAACAAGAAGCTACTAGGGTGGAGGCCATCGCTAGTAGGTTGGAGGCCATTACTACTAGTAACAAGAAGCACAGGCAGGCCCACCGAGCCACGTGAAGCTTGTCATCAAAAAGCAGCCAGAATCTTTGCCTGCAAAGCCATGGTCGAGCTGCAAAAGCGCAAGCTTTCGCTTCATGATTGATGTGTCAACCACTGCGGCGCCGTCAGCCCACGCCCATTGATTGCAAAAACTCTTTCTGCTGGTGTCGAATGCGTCGTTGATCTTTCTCAACAGCACTCCATATCATCCACAAAGCCCTCTCGGAGCATATGTCTTGTCAAATTGCTGAGCTCAAGCATGGTAGAGGACTGGTACAATACCCAGCCTGAAAATTTTGCGGCGCAAGAACTGCTTACAAAGTGGCAGAACTCTGTCTCCACGACATCTTAAACTAGCCAGCTTCTTCCTCATGCAGTACAGCATGGCAAAATCGCAAGTTCACCAACAATGTTTCTTTCCCAAACAATGCTGTTGCGTGACACCATGCCAGCATGATGACGCATGAGCGTTACGCCATGACCATGTCAGCATAACGGCCTGTCAGCATGGCTGCAAAGTGATCTGGAACTATCTTTGTGGAACTTGCTCTGAAAGCTGCTCCGATCTGCTCCGTCTTCAAGGTAGACCACAGCCCTCAATGTTCACCACTTCAAAACCAACTAGCTATAACTTAGATCTTTCCGGCACCCAGCTGCGCGCCGGTCGAAGTGCCGTCGTCGTCGAGGCACACCGTGGTCATCAGCTGGACGTCGCCGCCCAGGGAGATGAAGGCTTTCGTCAGCTCCTGGTGACGCGTCATTTCGTGGACCCAGCAGTTGAGCTCATCGACGATCGCCCATCTACGAGTTGGCTTTGGGTTCCAGGTGTGCGAATGGCGAATCGTGGGGTGGACATTGACCTAGTTTGGTGGGGTTCCAGATTAGACCCAAGACAAATTCCAATGTAACAACATCAAACTGTGCCAACAGACCTTCTATGTTCTTTTGTGATAAACACTCAGAATAGCTCTTTTCTGCTTTTTACTCGTGAACGCCCAAATGCAAACAAGAAGGGCTTTCAGACAACTTGTACAACCCCACGATTCCAACCATCATTGATTTTACACTACAACACCAAGACGTTCCCATTTTTTTGAATGGTCGAATGGAAGCCTAGGGTATAAGTTCAGCGTTCAACAATCTATCTAACCGGTTCCACACGGAACACGTGTGCTGTTCGCCGCTGGAGAACTGGACGGTGAGCTGACGGCCCCCAAAATCGGTCTAAGTCCAAGCCTTCAGCTGGCTTCTTGGTGAAACATGTCACCAAGTGCTTCAAAATAGCTAAGATGAAGCTGAGGTGTCAGACATGTCGAACGCCAGCTTTGAATCATGGCATCCGTGCGACGTGCGGGCGACGTCTCTGCTCGGTGCGTGTGCCCTTGCCATCCTCGTTTTCAGCGTGGCACACCATGGTCGTATGGTGAGTAGCTAACTTATCCTAGTAGCTTACAAGTCGCCTAACTTAATTAAGCAGGAGCCAGCGAGTATCGGCCGCGGAATTGTATCGACCGCAGTGAGTCGAGTGACAGTCGCGACTCTCAGCGAATGGCGCAGTCCGCCGCGTTTTGGTCGTGTTTTGGTCGCGCGGCGAGTTGCGCGTGTCTCGCTTAAGGTCTGCGGGTCTCAGTGGATGTTTTCAGCGGTCCAAGCGACCTGGCAGTGATTCTATGAACCGACCCTGTCCGCCCTACGAATTTGGAGCGGCCCAGGTATGGCTGGGAGAGAAGGTCTGATTGAAGCAATTCCAGCCGTTCGGCACCCTCCAAGTGGACCAGACTTTCTCCCCCAGGTGCCATCGTTGTTTTGGTGCTAACAAGCGAGGACCATGCCACCCTCCAAGGACAGACATTGGAGGACCCGCACCCCGATGTGAACCCGAACGAAGTGCGACAGTCCACATGACAGCGGACAGCGATGCCAGGCCCCAGAATCGATTCAGTTCGGGACCATCGCTCTTCGGAGCGATCGGACGCTACGAGTTTCATCCCCACCTTCGTCAGCTCTCCGAAGTCCACGTCCGTGCCATCGGGCACCCGGGTGAAGGCGCACCTACCCGAAGCATTCGGTGAATTCGTTGGGATAGGTCGGAGATTCATTGTGAATTGGTCAGCTGTTGGGTCCATGAAGAAAGAGGTGTGTTGACTTGCCCAAACATAACAATTTTCAATGGACGCGGAAGAGGACTGCCCTGTGTTCCAATGGCAACATGTTCTCCCTCTTTTATCGCTAGGACTGTGCCCAGCATCTCTTTTAAACCATCGCTCTGTCTACCTCCCGATTCGATTCCATCACCTCCCGTTTTTTGGCGTCCAAAAACCACAGCCCGATCCGGGCCTTTCTTTGTCATCACGGCCTTCCATCATCAAAGGAGCCCAGGACTTCATCTTCTCGGGATCTTCGGTGTACTCCATGCCTGGCACGAAGCCTTTCTCGGCATGGACCGGCACGGAGCGTCTTCCCCTTCACTCCATGGCGTGGGGGAGGCGCTGAAGGCTAGAAGCGGTAACAAGGGCAACTACTAGTAATTTGTTACTTGAAGCGATGCACTTGTTCCTAGTAGCTTCTTGTTACTAGTAAGGCACCTGTTACTACTAGCGTGGCACTTAGTAGCTAGAAGCTTCATGTCTTAATCATAGAGCTATATATACAAGAGCTTCATGTGGGGGGATTTCCGCCCGAGCTTCATCTCGCCCCGGCGACTCCTGGTCGATGTTCCGAACCCGCAGTGCAGCTGCACGCCGAACCCGCTCCGCCTTGGAACAGAGGGTGCCCTTTCAGCGCCTCAAAACCTGGGCGGAACAGACCCGGCCACCGTGGTCTCCTGTTCCGCCAGGTCTGTTGGCGAACGACCAATGCCATCGTTCGGTTCTTGGGTCATTGACCAATGCCAAGATGCGGAAAGGGACGGGGCCGGATCATGGCCAAGTCAGAACAGACGAACAGTCGAAACATGTGGATGAAAGAGGTCACGTGCCAAAAGCTTCTCCCCATGAACAAACACGGCAAACAAAGATCAATATGAAACGATATGTCACAAAAGGCACAAAACCTGTGAAGGGTTTCAAGACCCGCGAAGGGGTCTTAGTCCTCTGGCTATGGTCCAAGAGCCACACGTCCACCAAAGGAAGGCATCACTGCATTACCATGCATTACCCACTGATGAAAGCCAAATCGACATTTTGAGAATTTGATTTTGAAAGATTCTCCTCTCCAGCATGCTACTGAAGAACATTGGAACCTGATAGATCTGTAAAACTGCATGCCTTGACATTTTGGCGACAAACTGCGGATTCCAACGAAACCAACCTCAAAGCCACTTGCGACCGCAAGTCCAACTAGTCCGTCGCTTTCTTCATTTATTTTTGCGAAGCCGGCGCGCCGAAACCGGTGAGTTGCAGTCCCCCCCCATCGTGGTTCACCTGAAACGCCGTCCTTCACCCAGCACTGCTCCCGCTCGGGTGACGCTTCTTGAGCCATGCGATCTGCTCCTCCCCGTGGGCGAAAGTCATGTGGGGAGTCCTGGGGCATCACAAACCGTTGTGCAGGTGTGTCTTCAGGTGTGCCTGACCAGGTGTGTCTGACCAGGCCAAGAAACACCCATTCCCTGAGAATGCGCATTCTGTTCCCACCCAAACGCCCGGGTACCGGTGAAGGACGTTGGGTCGAACATGTGTCGAGAAGATGCACAAGGCCCCACGAAGCTGGTGGGTCGGGGCACAACTGGACAGCTTCCCAAAGCAAGACCTTCTCCGATCCCAAACTCAGGCGGAAAACCCACGCAAGCAGCCGTTGGGAAACATTGGATCCATCAGTGGACCTCAAAATGAGGGCACCCACAGTCTTTTAATGGTTGCTCGTGGTTCATCCCTTCCTTTTGGCCAGCGGTGACTGGGAGTCTCCGAGGCCGGACCAAAGAGGCCATCTTGTGCTACACAGTCCTTCACAGAAAGAGCTCCAGGAGACCAAATCCCCATTTCACAGTCCTCATGTGGGGGATATGTTTCTCCAAAAATATCGAGAAGGGTGGTATTGTTAGACCCCTAAAAAAGCCACGTTCCAGCCACGCCAGGCGTCTGACTGATGAACTTCGACGGACTCACCAGGCCCTTCCTCAGTGGCAGAAACCCATGATCTCCACCCGAACCGACGGTCGATGCCAGGTACCCCATAGATCCAGATACATCTCAGATACCTATTGTTTGTTCGCTCGGGGTGTATCCACTCCACTCCACTCCACTCCACTCCACTCAACCAACCAACCAATATAAGAAAACACAATGCATGGTAGAAGCACCAAATGGATTGGGAACCCGTTTTTTGGGCCCTCATGGGACCTTGGAAGTTGGGCCAATGATTTCTGAAGCACAGCTATACCAGGACCCTCCAAGGGGTGTCTATTTATAGCCCCTTAGCTGTTAAGTGGTGTCCATTAACCACCCCTTGAGGGTGCTGGTAGAGTTTATGCAGATGTGTTTTGTGTAGCAAAGGTGGTTGTTGCGCTACCATGAGGAATCCCCACCTGCAGTTCCCCACTGATGGTAAGGTTAAGGTAAGGAAGCGATGTGGATAGCTTTTTCTTCTGGAAAACAATAGGGCTTCCCACGAAGCTGCACTCTCCGAGCCTCCAAAAAGATGCAACAACAACATATCGCAAGAACTGGAAGATCTGGTAAAGCATCACCTGCGAAACCTTGACGACTTCGACTCTGGTGGGTTCCGCTGGGTTGCAAAGAAGAGAGCCGAGCAAACACATCGTCAGAAAAGCCCAGAAAAACACCATCCACATCCACCTCATGCCCGCCACGGTTGTGGTACCGCCGCTAACAACGATGTCCAAATCCACCAAATCCACTTCCCGTCCCAGGAGCTCTGCGAGATGCGCCCAATACTGCCGGCTCAGCTGGAAGTTCTCGTTGACCTCGGCTGTGCGAGCCACGGGCCGCGCGAGCCGCGAACGGCCGGAGAGGAGACCGGAGCGGTGTGAAATTGCATTCGGTGAAGTGGGTGGGGTGCCACACCAAAAGGAAGTAGAGCTTTCTGAAGTCGAAGTGCCGACTAGCCACAAGTTTATAGAGAAATGTGCAAAGAATGATGCCTGGAACAAGGTACGGAAGAGCAGTATCGAAAGAAACCATGGCGTCGAAAGTGCACGGCTGCAAAAGGAGAAATCGGCTGCATGTTGCAGCATAGGCATAGTTCCAGTTCACAAATCGGTGCAGCGGCACAGACGCATCTGGCGATGGACACACCTTGCATGTCAAGAAATGAACATTTTAGTCGCTCTTCCAGCTCAATTATGCGGTGTGCCAGGCAGTGTGGATGGAGAAGACATTTGCTGGACATCCAGTGCCAACCAGAAACAGTTGTGGTTCTTCCAATAGGGCTTACTTGAGATTCTTTACAAAAGAAGTGGCTGGGACTGGTGTAACATCCACAACTGTTTCTGGTTGGGACTGGGTTTCTCCATGTTTGGGGATGGAAGCTCACCAGACAGTCCATCAAGTCTTGTGGAGTTTGCGGGAGGGATCAACGGACGACATCCTCGTCACACACGAAGTCGACCGAGTGGCTGTCACCGCCTTGTGGATATCCACGGTCTTCCCCGCCTGAAGCTATTAGGAACAAGTGCCACGCTACTAGGAACAAGTGCCTTACTAGTAGTAACAAGAAGCTAGTAGTAACAAGTGCCACGCTAGTAGTAACAGGTGCCTTACTAGTAGTAACAAAAAACTATTAGAATCAATAAAAAACTATAGAATAACCGCCCGCACCGTTGGGGCGAACGACGCCACCGACGGAGCCGTGCCATGCAGCCGTTGGCGCTTCCCAGAAATCATGAAAAGGCCGTTTGGAAGGATCGTTGACCTATGTATATAGCTTGACTTCTGAAATCCACCTCTGCAGCCCAGCGCAATCCCTTGTAGCAGCCCCCAAACACGCAGAAACAACATGAAAAATCTTCCAATACAGCCCAAAAGGGGGCTCACAAGAACTTGCGCACGATTACGTGAACCCATCCACTGACCCAAAAAGATTCGATTATATATTCCCATCTCAAAAGGCCTTCCTTTCCTTTGCTGTTCGTCTATGCGCGCATCACCCGCATTCGCCTCGGGTGTGTAATTCGGCTCACACAGCGCGGAGTGGCCGGTGCCCGCGTTGTTCCAGCCATTGGAGCTCTCCTGCCGATTGGGGCCAAAAGCTCGCCGAAACGCCCCAAAAGCCGAAAGGCCCGTGACTCTTAAAAAAGTGAAACTAGACGATGGTTGGCCCGAGAGCGAGACATGTAATTGTCCAGCACTGTCGAAAAGATGTATAGAAAGAGAGAAAGAGAGGGTGGATGTGAAGGAGTGATATAGATCTGTAGATGTACGGAGGTGGAGAGGTAGATCTAAGGATGTGAGCGTGCGAAGATGACGAGAGAAAAGACATGTAGAAAGAAAGAAAGACAGGACAGATGTGAAGGAGCGACAGTGTGGGTGTACAGATGTGATATAGATGTGCAGATGTGAGGGTGTGGTGAGGTGGAGAGGTAGATCTGCGGATGTGAGCGTGTGAAGATGTAAATGTAGAGAGGTGAGGGGGTGTAGACGTAGATGCGTCGATGCAACGGCAGTGCAACGTCAACCTTAGTTGTGCAAGTACAACGCTGAAGAGGTTCAAATAGAACTGAAGAAAGTACATGTCACACTGAAGTTTCCACGAACAGGGCAACCTGAGAGTAAACGACGTCACGATCGTGACAAGCGACTCGTGTATTCCAAGCGAACATCGTTTGTCATGAAGGTGAAGTACACACATACTAACGTCACGATGACGATGACTCTTTTGTGGCAGCCACTTATGAGTAAGCAAAGTAGCTAAAATTTGTCAACCTCTCAAGAGAGCCGGGTGGTCGGGAGACAAGACTCAGCTGCAGGGGCGCCAGAGCAGCCGCGAGAGATGACTCAGCCGCGAGAGATGACCCATCCGCGTACTAAAGTTGTACTACAAAGTCGCCAGTTCTCAGCTTCCAGCTCCAC